TATATATATATAGATATATATACAGATCTATCTATATATATACTGTATATATGATATATATAGATATATATATCTGTGCTACTAAAGCTTTGCCTCAGGGAACTCTAGCGAGAGGTGCACTATCATTCCATAGAGTCTTGATATGTCAGACCTGCGGCTGGCAGGGCATACTGGGACTTGCTAATGTTGCTGGTCCAGACAAATAATCTGTAATAGGCATAGATTGGAACACCTTACCAGTGTCATGTATTTCCTGTCAGCGAACAAGGAAAATGATTTTCCATCCCCACCAGTCTGCTTTTCTCCAATCTCCCGCCTCTTTCGACTTTTTCCAGATTCCTGTCAGAAATATAACACAGAATGAACCTCTGGAACATGGCTGACCCTTGTTATTCTCACATACTTATCATGAACAGAATCTTTAATGTCACACAAAGGAGCCACCTACCAGCAATTCCAGTCTGTTAATTTCCCCCTTAGGTAGACAAGACATTTTTTCCAGGCCCTGGGACTCTATTTTTACAATGTACAGAAGCCATTTTCCATTGGTGATCTCTTTTGGCCACTGAATGTCTAAAAATGCTGCACCCAAAGATTTCAGGGGCCGTCCGAAATTAGTGACCTGCAGTTGAAAAAAAAAGTCGACAATGTAAAAGTTGTACAGATAGCAAGTATACAACATTATATCATTACAGTGCAGCCCCTTAGTGCCCATTCATACCACAATGCTGTGTGCTACAACAGCATTTAACAGCTCATTCAAAATGAACAGGCTTAAACCCACCACTGCGCATACGTAAATGGGGCAGGCTGAATTTTCCTGCAGCACAACACACAGGACAATCTGCGTTGCATTGTAGGACATTGGGGTGTTATGCACGATGAATGACACTACAGTGCAGTAATGCACACAGGCCCGGATTTCCCACAAGGCCACCGAGACCCGGCCTCGGGGCGGCAGAGCGCCGACGGGCGGCAGCGGTGACCTTGTGGGGAAGTTGCGGGCGCCGGTGTAAGGTATCCGGCGGTCGCACACTACGGTCCGCCGCCGTCCAATCACGACGGGGCGGCCCATTTACAGCAACAGAAGGCAACAATGTTACATAGAACTGAGCAAATATACTTCCAATAGGAGGTGGGACCTGATACTATCAATTTTCAGGCCTGTAAGTGAATAGCCGCCACATATGCTTTGCTGAGTCAGACCACCCACCCATGGACAACACTTTTTCAGTCTTAAGGTGGCCATACACTCTACAACCATCGCAAGACTAAAGTCTTGCGATGGTTGTAGAGTGTATGGCCACCTTAATGATCAGCAAGTAAACCACCAAAAGGAGCCAATTAACTAGTGATTAACTAACTGTTAAAGTAAAGATATCTTAACTGATTAAATTAACTTTGCTTAACCAGAACACCTACCCATGAACAGCGCTGTTTCAGTGTAATGGGTCTCACTCTCAACCACTGAAAGGAGACAATTAACTAGTGTACAAGTACATGTATGGAGACTTCAAGAAGAGAGTCTGAGAAATGCATGCAAATAACTCTTTCTGAACATAGCATATCCAAAAACGAGAAAGGACTTCTGGGTAATAGTTTTTTTACATGAAAGCGAATATCCCACCCATATCACATAGCCTTTGCGGAAGATGCTATGGTTCAGCAAAGTCTATCCATGCAGTTGTCATGTTCTCCCTGTGTTTGTATGGGTTTCCTCCCACACTCCAAAGATATTCTGGTAGGTTAATTGGCTTCTGTCTCCACCTAGTATGTATGCATGTGAGATAGACTATAGATTGTAAGCTCCTTGAGCTCAGGAACTGTTATAGTATGTAAAAGCACTGTGCAAATTGTCAGTGCTATATAAAATCCTGTAAATAAATAAAGCTTCCTTAGTAACTAAAACAGAACAAGTTTTCTAATCAGGATGTCTGATTTCACTTTCTCAATATGTTATCAGTAAAGATTCAAATCACTGAGAGCGAAGTAACTAGCATTTTAGAAGGATGCCAGCAATAGCAGTCCTAATATCTCATTCATGACAGATTCCCTTGGGATGTCCCTAGTTGTCCTCTATACTCGAGTAACGTGGCAGTGGACTGAAGAAAGTGTCATGGATGGCATTTCAAGTCCTGACCAGCAGAGGGAGCTCCATAATAATAAATGAAACAAGGCATTCCTTCACATCAACAAGTCATAATACTCACTCTGAAATCAAAATTCACCAAACTTCCAACATCGTCCTCTGTTTTCATGGCACTTTCCCCAGCCACCTTTCCTCCAAAGTACACCTGGGAGGGATCGGCAACCCTTTTGAAGAAAAAAAAAATATTAACTCGAATGCGATACTTTAATACTGTGAGATTTTAACCGCTGCTTGATTTATTTTGCTAAAAGGTATAATGACTTTTTCCTCACAGCACTAAATTTACATCTGATTGTAAGAGAAAGAATGAAAGAACTGTATTTGTTAGATGACTTACCCTGATACTGACAGCAAAAGCTCAATCACCACCTGTGCTTTAGCAACTACAGGGCCTAGGTCAGGTTGAGAGCTTGTCCTGCAAAAGCAAAAATTAATAGATATTAAATATATAGAGAATACTTAAAGTGGACCTTTACTCATATTAAACCTTTCACCATTCTAATCCTACCCCCTCCATATTTAAAAACAGCCAAGCTTTGGACATGATTTTTTTCTATTTAACTTTTTTTTTCTGCTGCTGGCCTTGCCCCCTGCTGCCATCCTCACCTAGATGAAAATGATATCTCACTCTCCTCCAGCTGTGTCCTGGCATACTGAGAGCACATATTCCAGAGGGCATTACTTCCCCCATTCTATAAAACAAAGACAAAAACAGATCTTGCACACAGGTAGAGATCTGGCACATTGTCTTTTTGCATAGTGTTCTGTGAATGGTGAAATTGAATGCTTCTTGGCATATGTGATATTGGTACCCCAAGAGACATTTCTATCATCTATTCATAGAACAATGTAAACAGAGGCGGTGCCAGATCTTTGCGCATGTGCAAGATCTGGTACCACATCATGAGGGGCCAGCTTCAGGAAGAGACAGATGAATTCTCTTGATGTTAACAAGAAGGTTGGCAGAATGGGACAGGACCTGTAGCAAGACAGCGGGGTGAGAGAAGACAATGCTGTATCCACTGGGCTTGTAAGTATACATTTTTTTTAAAGCACATACCCGCCCCCTTCACTCTTCCTGCCCATTCACAAAATACAAAGTGTTATGTGAATAGAGGAGGGGAGATTCAATGATATACCCACCCACGCCACTCCACTGTTCCATGCACAGAATTCTTTGCATTCAGTGGGTAAAAACAATGCTTTTTGTGCATGGGCGAGGCGAGAGTAGGGGACGGGCAATGCATCTGGAGCCCTTTACTGTTGCAGTCGCATCTCTCATCCCCGCAGCGCCATAAAAATGGAGCTCTGTGTAGAATCCAGCTTCAACCAAGGTATGATTTTTATAGTAAGCAGCAGTCATACTACTCCTACTATAGTCATTATAAGGGGTAACTTATTTAACCGTTGCTGTTTCTAAAGTCATTTTTTTTACCAGAGTTCAACTTTACCAATCAGACTTTTTTTGGGAAAAACCTGTCTGATCTAAATATTGCCCTTTATGAGCAGTCGACTAGTAGGCATCTGATGGTGCCATAGAAATGAGATTGTCAACTGACTCATCCAAATGGGTAGCTGTCATCTCATATCTACAGCATGGCCAGTTTAAGAATAGTCCCTAAAACAAACATTCACAAAGCTCTGGTTATTAGCAACATCATAAACTAGACAATCCCCATCTGTTACAGTGTATAATATCTATATCTGAATGATGAGTAAGAATGACATACTCATAATAAATTAATAATCACACAAAAACCAATAATACATCAGTAAAGAAAAGACATACGTTTCCAAAGTGAGTGGTATCTGCAGATCCTTAGTGTCAACTGTTATTTCATTTGTATTCATAACAAGATAAAATGTTACCTGGAAGAAAGCGGAGGAGTACTATAAATTAGTATCTTATGTGGAAATAGATTATTATTAAATTACCATTTTTAAATATTCTACAAACTTTATCTCTCTCTTATGCTCCTTTCACGCAGACGCCTATCTGCTCCGATCAGCAGGGGATCCGTGCACAGATTCCCTGATGACTGGAGCAGTAGAGAATGGATGCCAGTTTTGTGACATCTGTGTCTGTTCAGTTTTTTCCTCCATCGTCCAATGGAGAAAAAAAACCTAGCTGTACGGACACATGTCAGGTCAAAGGGCAGCCAGATGTAAGCGGACATGTGTCTGTTTACATCCAATTACCTCCGATCCGTCACATTTAGGTCTGAAAAAACAGAATTTTTTCCTATTTTGGGACTAAACGGATTCAAGACAATTGGATGTAAATGGACACACATACGTTTATATATGGCTGCCCATAGAGTTGCATTGGGCTTCCGATTGGGCGGATCTGATCGGACTACCCGTGTAAAGGGGCCTTAAAGTGTCACTTCACGTATAGCCCACTCACCGATCTGACAATCCGCAGAGACAAAAGGCTGCACGAATCATCAGAGCAGTAGGTATATTTAATATTTCTGTTTTAAAACATTGGTTCTATCTGCCAAATGCAACCATCAGCACCATTTTATGGGATGTTTATTTACAGGGGCTAATGCATCTACTTTCAACACAGTAATACCGGTGCCATCAGAATTGACAAGACCATTCATAATATACAAGTGCTCATTTTACCTGCATGTGAGAGCATGAGCCAGCTGAAGAAAAAATACATTTTGCCCCATTCTAGCAACAGCTGATTAACTGGCACAGAACAAATGTACATGGACAAATAGCTATGCAATTTTTTTAATAACACCCAAAAATGTTTATACTTTATAAATGCTATATAGTAAAAATGATAGCAATAATAGTAAAATAATACAAGCAATAATATAACGATAATAACTGCAATAATCATACAAATGCATCAGATGAACATTGAAAGTGTAGAATAATAAAAAAAAAATCACATACATTGGCATTCCTTTTAAAAGGATTTGCAAGGTCACACTCCACTTTTGATCCGTTTGAATTTGATACACAAATAACTTGTTTTTCCTGTGATACACAAATTAAAAAACTTGTTAAAGATCGTTGACCACAAAGCAGAAACAGAACAAGATCACGGGAGACCTTTTCACTATAATGTTTTTTCAGCTAAAACTCTCAGCATGCATATTCCCAAATGAACTTACAACTGCAGGGCTAACTCTGATGGGAAGTCCGTGGGAAAAACTCTGATCCCATCAAACACGGAAGAGGATCACAAGCATGGAAAGTTCTCATGTAAAACTGGCTATAGTCACACTTCAAGTGTATGTATGGGCAAAAAAAAAACATATGCAGTACATCTCTGCAATATGTGTACTTTTCCTAATATTTTATTCCTATTTAAATTCTAAAAGAAAAATACCCTTTGAGCATAAAGCAAATCCATTGAGCTCCCAACTCACTCTTTTCCACGGACAACGCTGCCTCTCCTGCACTGAAATCTCAAGCAGCGTTGTCAGCCTTGCCTGCGGGACTACAGTTATCCACTTATCCCAGCCCCTTCTGTCCCTCTTCACATGCATGCACTGATTTCTTTCCCAGCAAAACAATGCTGCTCCCATGACCCAAAGAGCCTGTCCTCACACTGCGTGTAGGGAAAGGGCTTAAGGGAGAAGCAAATCTGGGGGCCTGCCTACGTCAATAGGAACTGACCCAGGGCAACCCGCTAAACCCTCCACCAAGCATCTGCTACTGCAATAATTTACAACCCTGGTGATGACATCACAGGGAGCTTTAAAAGCTGTTTCTCACTCTAGGAACAAAGTAAAAGAAAAAAAAATGAATGCTGGTAAATGCCTTAGAGTAAAAGCGTGAAGTTTGGGGCTAAATTTGGGTCATGTCTGGAGATCACTTTAAAACCTGTTTCTAACAGTGTTTGTTACTTACCTGTTGGTTCGTTGGGAAACTGAAGGAAGAGAAGGACAGCGTGTTTGGCAAATCTGCGATAAGCCTGGCTTCATGGGCATCATCTCCATCTTTAGTGGGATTATTAGGATCCGATGGCTTATTTGTGACTGTGATTTCAAGAGCAATATTTCTCTGATCCTGAAGAGCCAGCACTGGAACACCATTCTCCCTGTGTTATCAGGAAACAATGACAGTTAGAGTTCCATTTATAAATCAGTGGCGTGTCCCATGATATTGTTAATTTTTTAATAAGAATAAAGAGTGCTGCAATTATAAATGCCTTTAAATCTGCTTGGGAATTGCATTGTCATATCTTCGATATCACTGCTTGGGAGCTGAACTGTGACACTGGTGATGCAGTACCAGTTCCTCTGTGCAGTTTAAAAAGCGTGCAGCTTCCTCTTTAACAAAGTTTAATTGCGTTATTATAACCGGAAGGTAGGGAGTTCAAGATCAAAAGTGTATTTTGTACCTTATGGCATAGGGTATAGTAAATTAATGTTTAAGGGCCAGTGTTGACAGGCATTTGTTTCCTTCAGTTTAGATCTGCAATCCCATACAAGTCTATCGTAATGCAAATCCCACTTGAAGCAGGTCAAATGCACCTGTTTCCAAATGATCTGAAAACCATCCCAAAATTGTGTCAATAACACAAGCCCAAAGCCCCTTGACCCAGGCCCTAAACCTGAAAAATAATTGTTTTATACCCAATTGCATAAAATATTTTTTTTTAGATCTGCCTGAAGTTTAGCTACTAATTTGAAACAAGTTTAGTTATATACTTCTTCAGTTCAGTGAAGGTGTCCTTTGCTTCTTGGTTGAAGAAGTTGTAAGAGATCTTCATGTTGCTGTTGCAGATATTATCGTCACCGCATCCTTCTTTCAAAAATTGAGCCTAAAAGCAATTTAGAATCTGGTTTAGTAAACATGTCCAAGGTGCATGGTCTAAACATCAGCATGGTTATTTTCTAGCAAATCATTCTAAAAGCTTCATTTAGTAAGACTAAGAGCAATGTGCACAGAGCAGAATCTCTGTTGTCAACAAATGTTTTCCCAAGCTAGTAGGGTGCAGTTTTGCACAAGTGCATTGAAGACTCAAACGTTTATGGGCTGTCTGAAGATCAAATCTTTGAGGGAGCAGCCCATAGCTGTCAAAAAGCTGACTAGCACCGGCGTCTGGTTGAAGGTAAACAAAACTGGGAATCTGTTAACGGTCAGAGTACATGCTACTGATCAGAGGTCTGCATTTTTAATAATGTAAAGTGTTGGGAGGACTCCTTTACTGATACATAGGGGTGTATTAAAAAAACATTCACAGTGCAAACAGCGATGCGAATGCCAGAGTTTTAGGGGTCTATTCATGAAGCTGCCGAAGGATCTGGCCGTAGCTTCGGCCGATCCTTCGATGTCTCCCATTGAAAAGCATGGGACATTACTATTGGCTATTTCAATTTGCAATAGCCAATAGTAAACTAGCATTGTACGCGCCCTCTGCAGTTCCCCATCAGGTCCATGAGCAGCTCAGCGGCATTCGGCTATTCACTCATTGCTGTTCGGCATCTTTAAGAATAGCCCGAACAGCAGTTAGAAGCCTGCCGGAGGTTCGGCTCAGCCAATCCAGATGTTGGATCGGCTGAATCGAACTCCTTCTGCACTCCGGGTCGGCCGAACATGCTGAGCATGTTCGACCGAACCGAAGCCACACGAAGCAGGCCGATCTACGGCTGATTTCAGCCGATGTACGGCTGATATCAGCCGTACCAGCCTGAAGTGAATAGCCGAACAGTGTTCGGCTCACTTCACTTCTGATCGGTCATTCACTCGGCTGCCCTCGATTTCCAGCTCATTGTAGCCACTAGATGGAGCCAAGGAGCTTCTCGGTTCCATCAGACTTTGCAGAGTTGCTCGCTCTGTGAACATTTTATAAATACACACCATCATTTTTGTTTACATTTTAACTGAACTCGTGCTTTGTCTATGTAGGGCAATACAACAGGACTAGTTGACGTACCTCTGGAGGTGTGGCGGAGGTATTGTGCCGCCCCAACAGGGGCATAGAATATGAGATGCATAGCCTCAGTTAATATTAGCATTGTTATATAGGTTAGAATTTAAATATATTGCCAGAAGTAGTAGTGGGCATTTTTCAATAATAGCATGCATGAAAATATATCTGCCACTAGGGTCAGGTTTTAGGGAAACTAGGTTGAAGGGTCTGTTTCGCCAGGATTGATACACTTTTGGAGTATTAAGAGAAAGGGGCATGGAAAGCCGAGCCAATCCAGCCCCTATGAAGAGACAACACCTTGCTTTCAGTAATAGGAGTCCCTTGGAGAGCAACTACTCTATGTCTGGGTTTTGTATTTTGATACACATTATTATAGTCAATCCCTTAAGCTACCTCCCAGCTTAGTATAAACGAGTTTTAATGTTCACAAACTGCAGGCCTTAAGAGGTAAGTATATATAGTAGTAGACATCATGTAGTATACACAACACAGTGCAGCTGAACAAAAACAGAACAGAAAAACCAATGTGCAGCTGTATGGAGGAAACCACAGGGGCTTATACGCAAATCAGACACTTATTATATGTCAGACTGTGAGCGAATACTCAAACACATAGAACTGTTGAATTCACTCAGAGGATGAATGTGGTGTTAAATGAGAACTATTGGGAGAGAAATATACTTTCCCAATAGTTTGAGCCGGCATGTCACAATACAAGTGTCACACGCCGGCTCTATCGCTGAGCAATCACAAACCGCTGATCGCTCAGCTCGCAGCTTCTCCATGCAGAGAGTAGCGACTGTCATTCACCGCTCCACCGCAGGGATTCCCCTCTCTCTGTTTCTCCAGCACTCACTGGAGAGACAGATATAGGAGGGGCGGGCACAGCTGGCTCTGGCTCTAGAGAGGCAGAGGCAGCTGTCAATCAGGCAGTGGGGTGGATCCCGACAATATTGGCTGCAGTGTGGCTCTGCGCTAAAAATAAGTGAGTCACATGAACCTCCATACCTAGAAGTACCAGATATTTTCTTTGCTCCTAGGGGTTAAAAGGAGCAGTAAGGGAGTAAATGAAAGGTAAGCAGATGCGGCTGTGGAGGAAACATTAATGCAAACCTATTGTCTTCCTCTGATTGGACAAAGAACAGGTTTAATTTAAGCCCCTTCCTGTCATCTAGTAGCCAAGACAGGAAGCATTGGGGTGCTTACTATAGACTACCGTATTGGGCTTATGCAATAATGCAGTGTAAATACTACCAGCGAAATTTGGAGCACCGTAAACCATGGTATCCAATCAGATTTCAGTTTGCTGTGAAACATGAAGTCTAGTTAATTTATGTGGCTTACAGCATTTTGCACATTGCTTATTATTTGAATAAGTCCGTATACCTTGCTTCTTCTAGAATAGAAGTGAAACAATAGCTACAAGCACCTCTGGATTTTAAACGCCATAACGGAAGTAATTAAAAACAAAATAGTATTAACAATAAATTATTTACCTCGGTTGTGATTGTTTTTGGCTCATTTACATCCTGGATTGGCATAAGTTCTGGAAGTGAGCCGCTCTGTCTTTTTTTCCGACGGACATTTTTAATATCCACAGTAACAGACACAGGAATATGTCGGAGTTTGTCCTTAATATTTTCCTAAGAAAGCAAGACAATGGTAAGTCTACTTTACTCTTGGAGATTGATTTACTATATGAAGAGAAACTGTTAACATAGAAAAGTGAGGAACGTTTGCAGGGAAATGTACAAAAACTTTTATATGGGATAAAGAGCTATTGAGCATGACAATACAATTACAATACAATACGCTAAAGGAAAGTCTTTATTCGTCAAAGCCAAGGGTATCCAAAGGGTGTTTTCCCCTTTCTATCCTTCCCCACCTCATTCCATTCAGCTTCAATATCTGTCCTAACTAATATCTGTCTACTGCTGCCCTCACCTGCACATATAGAACTTTCTGGAAACATTTTTCCTGATCCTGTTGTCGTAGGGTTATTGTTCCTGGCTCTGGGAAATTGGCAATCCTGGATGACAAACCTAACTTGGTCCTTTCAGTTTCAGCTTCCAGTGTGTAGCCAAGTGCTATAAGAAGCCAAAAAAAAAGACTTATAGATTAATACATAGTTATCTTTATTTATAGAATACCAAAACAAGAACTAAAAGTAACATTCCAGAAAATAGATGGTTTATATTTAGGTTTATACAGAAACCATAATGGGTTTGAGTCTGGTTTTTTAAAAGTACAACTAAAGTTTCCCGTATGACAGTACATAGGTACCAGATCCAGCTAAAATGTGATGCACAAGCCTCATAACGTAAACTGAGCCAAATCCTCCTTGAGGCTCCGTTCACACCTGGGGGATCCGCTGCCTTGAACAATCCCATACATTGCTATGGTAACCGCTCATGCTATGGTAGCAATCCCATACATTGCTATGGTAACCGCAACCGCTCATGCGTGCCGCTGCGCTATCCGAACCGCCTCCCGCCCGAATTGCTCTCTGAGCTTTTTTTTCCGCACTTATCAGCGCGGTTTCCATACTGCTTTTAATGGAACCGGGTTGTTCAGCGCAGTTTTGGGCATTTTTAATTGCGTTTCAGCACTAAAACGCAATTAAAAGCGCCCCAAACCGCCTTTTAAAATTCATGCAGAAACCACGCTGATCCACAACCGCCCTTGTGTGAACAGGGCCTCATTTGAGTTGCTCATGCTCCCCAGTGGGTGGAACTAGGTGTAAACACCTGCTAATTAACAAGCTTGAGGCTTGTAATTCATCAGTGCAGTTGCCCCCTGCAACATTTTTTCATCCCAAACTACATGAGTGGCAACTCTGCTCTGATTTCAGGATTCAGCATTGTTGTCACATCATCAAAGGTGGGACCAGCAGATATTTGTGGGACTTTGCAGGGGGACTGTGCATATCTGCAGAGTGTGCTTATTTTTATGGGGGCCAACACTGTATATACTTAAACATCTAGTTTAAGTATATACAGTGTATGTGTGTGTGTGTGTATATATATATATATAAATATTTCCATCCATGCTGCCTCTGTGATACTCTAATCTGAATTACACCAAATTATATCACTATAACAAGAAAAGTAATTAGGATAATGAAAGGCACTTACTTAGAATGGGATTGTAATTCCGGGGCATAGCGCTATACGAAAAGCAGACGTCAACTGTCAAACTAAACAATAATAAAAACATGAATCAGAAAGGTTTGCATGTTGGGCTGTATTTAGCTGAAGCTGAACTCCAAGCAGATAAAAAGGTGCAAACTGACACAGCGCTGTATTTATTAACACATTTTTAAATGCAAGCTGTGGCACTCCTCCCTCTGAGCTCTTGTAGTCTACTGTACAGCAGAGCTCAGAGGGAGGAGAGGGAGAAGCAGTGCTCCAGAGACAATCAGGTGTAGTGCAGTGCAAGCAGCAGGTTGAAGAGATAAGAGAGTGACAGAGAGATAAGCTCATCATTCTGCTGCTTATGTAAGTGAAAGTAAAACTGCAGCAGAGAAAGATTAGATCCCCTCCCCTGCCAGACTGGACTGTGCAAATCTCAGGACTGGATAGACAGCAATAAAAATCCTTTCTGCAAGAAAGCGACCCCCATGTATGTATTTTATCTGTGTATTTAGCTGTTTGCCTGAAGTTCAGCTTTTACATGTATGTAAATCCTAACTATAGGACATTACTGTAGGGACGGGCAACTCTGGCCCTCCAACTGTGCTTTAACCTCAAATCCCAACATGCCTCTGCCTCTGGGAGCCATGCCTGTAACTGTCAGTTCTGCAATGCCTCATGGGACTTGTAATTCAGCTGGAGGGCTGGTGTTGCTGACCCCTGCATTAGGGGCTCTATTTGTCCATTTGTTACCCCAGATTCACATAATTTTCACCCAAGATTCACCCATTTTCGCATTAGAATTAAGTATAAAAATGAACAATTTATGGATGAAGGTTGTGTGAATCTTATGTGAAAATACTGATAGACTGATAGTATTCTTAAACACTGTGTATTACAAACAATTGTCTTTTTTTTGACCAGATGGAGCCTGTGCTGTGTGTGTTGAAACAGCTATTCGAAGTGTCCATTTGAAACCTTTGTGAAAAATCTCGGTCACAACTAGGGGCCCAGAACAGAGCTCTGCCACACTATAAGAGGAAATGCCTGAACATGGGCCTTCATGGTAGGCATTATTTTAATACATTTGGATTGAAATATATTCAAAATGACTTTTGAAATGATGCCATCACCTTATAGCTTATATGACTTTTTACCAGTTCTCATTTCCTTTAGGTGTCAGAGCAGGAAGTGTTTTTGTTTTGCATAGTAACCTTTTAGCTTCTTCCTTCCATTTACCCCATGAGAATGGAAATAAATGGAGAATATGGTTGGCTGGATATGAGTACTGTGTATGTAAATGTTCCTGTTCTCATTTGTGATTCTAAGGCACAATAAAGACATGGAAACTGTTTTTTAGTGTGAATATAAAACAGCTTTCTACCAGATTTTGCTTGCTGCAGGACAGTTTACATCTTTCTTATTGAAGTCAATTCTCTCCGGTGTCACTTTAATCCTCTTCTTGACGCTGACAACGGGGCGAGTCCTTTAGTGAAAAGAAGAAAATAATTAAAAATAAAAGTTATATGGCATACATATGAGTGTATACTAATAGAAAAGGTTTTATTATCTTACCTGAATACATTTATAGAATCTGACAGAGATCCAATTGCAATATCTGGGTATGAATTTCTGTCTAGATCCATGTTTCCAGCAATAGAGTATCCAAACGCCCGAGTATTTGTGCTCTTTCCATCAATAATCTTCATTAAAAACAGAAAAAAACAAAGCATTAGGCTGTAATATTTTTTAAATGTGATGAAAAAGCTTCAGCTTGACCTGAAGATAAATCTGAGGTTTTGGGAACATGTTCATCTGATGTAGAAATATAGACAAATTTACTATAGAGATTACATACACCTTTCTGCAACATAAACCTTGCCATATCAATATGTTAGGCAGGAATCAATATCATTTGTGTATATCTCTTTCCCCCACTTACTTTATATGCAGGAAAGGGTTAAAAACTCTCCCACATAAATGGTTAAAAACAAGTCAACTGCCCAAGTATCCCCTTTCCTACTACATATTATCAGGGTTTCTGTGAAGGTTCTCATTCATCCAGGTCATGGTATATCTGTAAAAAACAATTCAAGGCAACTGGACTTTCTGTATGTTTCTTGAAGATGTTCCACTGGATATCGGACCAGCTTTCTCAATTCAGAAATGAATTGAACAATCTAGGCCAAAATAGCTGATTTGGAAAAATTCTCCAATTCAGCTAACCTTCCAGTTTAGCTATTTTATCCTAGATTGTTCACTTCTCCCGCCTTCTCCAAACTCTTCACCCTTTTGTGAATAACCCTGTATATATTCATTGCCTATCACCACTGTCTTTGCTCTGTCCTCCCACTGGAGCACAGTAAAAAGGTATCACTTCCCATCCCTGTGTCAAAGTGCCCACCCAGCAGCAGGACTAGGTGCAGCCACCTGCTGATTGTTTGAAGATGCAACTTGTGAATTAGCAGTGGCAATGCTCAAAACCATTTGCCCTGCAAAATGTTCTTATCCCACTTTAGTGAAACAGACACACGCTACATTAGAGGAGCAGCTCTGCTCTCAGTTCAGGAGCAGTGCAGTATAGTTGCCATGCCATCACAGGAAGCTGCATTAGGTGGACTTTACTGGCAGGTATTTTGGGGACTAACCGAAAAATGTACCAAATCCAGTTACAATGTGATGTGCAACCCTTATAAAGCAAACTGAGACAAATTCTTGTTCATTTGTGTCTCATGTGCTCCCCAGTGGGCAGGACTAGGTGTAGTCCTGCCCAGTGGGCAGGACCACCTGCTTACTAACAAGCTAGAGGCTTGTAATTCATCAGTGTAGTTGCCCCCTGCAACATTTTTAGTTCCACTGTAGTACAATCAAAGCCTACATGACAGCAGCAACTCTGCTCTGATGTCAGAAGCAGTGCAGCGTTATTGCCTTACCATCACAGGAAGCTGCATTAGGTCTAATTTACTGGCAGGATCAACAGTTATTTATGGGACTTAGCAGGGGAACTAAGAGAAAAACGTGCAGATTATAAGTGCAGATGCATTTATAATTAAAGTGCTGAAGCACATATTTGTTTTAATTGGAGGGCACGGTTATAATTTGAAGATAAAGTTGTCCATTAGGTGAACCTGCTGCTTTGTCCTGCATGTTCACTTTAGTCACTACTTCAATTGGCAACTATCGAAATTGCTCTAAAAAGTGCCCAGCCTTCTATGTATATATCATGGGTAACAGTGTAAATTTACAGCTAGATATACAGTATCAGGGATGCACCGATACCAGTATCGGTATCTGTGCTGATTCTGGGCATTTTCACAAGTACTCGTGAAAATGCCCCGATACCAAAACCCGATACCAGTGCTTTACAATTTTAAATTGAAGCGGCTGCCGTAAGGTGCCACGCTTGCTGGGGACCTCTCAGCAGCCTTCTTGGGATCCAGTTTACCTTGTTTACAGCGCCAACCCACACATCTCCCATTCTTGAGACCCTCCGCACCCTTCCTGAGACATCAGGCCGGCACCCCAGAGCAGATCGTAAGCACAGAGTATGTAGAAAATTCATATACTATTACTCTGCATTGCTATATAATGTATTGCTGAGATTTGTAGTCCCTCTACGGCTTGGAGTCAGTGGCACAACTACCAGGATCGCAGCGATCACAGCTTTTACCAGGCCCTGGCACTCCACCACTGTCCTAAAATCCTTAGTCTGCATTGTTTTAGAAAAATATATGTGCCAAATAAAAAAAAAAGGTATTGGTAAATGGTATCAGCGAGTACTTGAGGAAAAGTATAGGTGCTCAGATGAATAAAAAGAAAAGAAAAAAAACTTCAATCAGATTGATTGATGGTTAGACTGTGATAAGAAAAAATCATTTACCTGTACAGGTTTCTCTATTATTCCAGTTTTGGAACCATGATAAATATAGACTTTCCCATAACCTTCATCATACGGCGCTCCGACTGCAATGTCTAAGAAGAAGAATGTCATAGGTTTTAGTATGCTAATAAAATTCTTTGGAAATATCTGAACTTCATCTCACATGATAAAAAATCTTCACAGTGGTCAAATGTGTCACATGATGCAAACTATTTCTAAATTCTAAGACTTCTATAGCACGAACTACAAACATGTCTTCGTTTGAGGACTTTGTAGTGGATTCGCATATTTAAATTTTTTAAATAAAAATAATAAAAAAAGTTTCCATTTTTTTCCAGGCCAAGTTGATGACATACTGCATATTATTTTTTTTTTATTTCCAGCCAGTTGATGGAGCACACAACTCCTTTTCACAGGTTAACCTGTACATTCTTAGCCGCTCTGTTAAAACATAGCTGATGTTCACAAAGCTTCATTGCTCCAAGCTGAGATTAACACATACTGCTATAAATGAGTCCAATAAGTGGATTCTGCCCCATCCCTCCCTGTTCTGTCTAGAGGGGCAATACAAAGATGAAAGTAGAGAGAGCCTGAATATAAAATCCTTTTGATGTGCTCTTTCTATAATACGCATAATGCTGTTTGAATACATTGTTCTGGGTGCACCCTATATTACATGAAATGTAAAAAAATATATATTTTACAAAAATGAATAATATAAACTTAAAAAGATAAAATAATATTGACCAGAAATGATAGTTTCCCTTTAAATGGGTGAAATGGGGAGGATGCATATACACCATATAGTATTAGAGAATTGGCAAAGTGACCGTGTCCGCTGACAGCCCACCTCCGCCGCCCCACCCTCCAGCAAAATATCTATCAGCGTCTTTTTCTAAAAGGACAAAGTGACAGTTTCACCTTCAGCAACTTTTAGGTTCATTTCAACTCATCAGCTTTTCAGGAACTAGTTCCACTACAAATATAGAGCTGGCAGCCATATTTCAGACTTAGTGAATGGTTCCAGCAAAGCAGTTTTGAAGGCTCCTTTCATGTCCATCATAACTGAACTAACAATGATTTCTTAAGACTGAGCCAGTCCAAATGACTGCTAATTGCTACCGTAGTTTTTTGATATTTTCCTTTTACCTAACTGTAAGGACTGCGTGTATTCATTCTATAGAACCAGTTGACACCACGTTTTCTTACCTGGGTAGCCATCTTGATTGATATCTCCAATATTTTTTACGGAAATACCAAACATGGAGTCCTTGGTTCCCACAATTCGTTTTGGTTGAACATTTTCCCACTTGCCAGCTTCATTCATGTACACATAGATCGCACCTCCGATTTCTTTGTCATCCTTTTCAAAATATTGAGGGGCGCCGACGACAATATCCTGCCAACTGTGGATAAAATATCATACTCGTCAGCATAACAAGTCTGTGAATCTGCCATATAAAGATTTGTTTTATACAATTTAGAAGACAATACTGAATTATAGCTAGTAGCAGGAGTATGAAGGCACAGTCATTCTCCAAACTAAAAAAAATCAATGCAGTCGACAAAGATTTCACCCCATCCCTTGAGGAACCTGAAATGTCAAACCTGGGTTGGGATGGCTGTTAAAAAGCTGTTTTTTACATATGTCTGTGAAGGTTCTCATTCATCCAGGCATGGTATATCTGTAAAAAATAAGTCAAGGCAACTGGACTCGCTGTATTTATCTTGAAGACGTTTCGCTGGTCAGAAAGCTGGTTTGATGACCAGTGAACTGTCATCCAATAATAAAAATGTGTTTGTCAGCTGCTTTGACGGCTTCAGTTATAAAACTACCACCTGGCGTATATGCCAGTTGTACGGCACTAGCGCCCCTAGATGGCGCTGAGGAGTATAGAAAGCTACATGTCAGGGCCCTGGCACTAGCGCCCCTAGATGGCGCTGAGGAGTATAGAAAGTTACATGTCAGGGCCCTCTAGCACTGCTAGTGCTATTGGGACAGCATCCACCAGGCTATACACCAGGCTGATGTTTTCTAATTGAAGTGTTTCTGCATGGAAGCTTTTTGCAGTGTACAGGCAGGAAAGCAAGAAAGCAGAGAGGCACATAACACAGCCGCTGCATTTATCCCAAAAATGATGGATGGTAACATTGCAACAACAAGTGCCCATTGTTTAAGCGAACATATCTGGAGTGTTAAAAACATAGTTGCATCAGCAATTGTTTAACACAGTGTATGAGGGGTAGAGACATGTATATAGTTAAAATGCTTTACAGTATAACTGTGGGTGCCCTGTGAACAAGATTTTGCTTACGTCTTGATTCAAAACCCTCCACTCTTTTTTAACAGGTAAACTTTATTAATTTTGCCATAAATACATAAATAAAACTATAACCAAAGCATTAAAGTGCAGAATATAAAAGATCTTGACCACATGAAGTAATGTGTATGTCATGATTCCACCTCACACTGCCCAACAGAAGTAAAAAAATGTAAAAAATGGTACAATCATATATACACCCAGATCCAAAATCATGGTGAAGCGGTCTGACCAGGACAGCAGGAGGAGGATGATGGTAATCTTGGGTGGGAGGGCACGGGAGAGGGGACAGCAGAGCAGTACAGGTTAGAGAGCAAATCCATGAGCATTGGGCTTTAACATATTAACAAGTTGCATCCCATATAGTAAGCCAGAAAGCATTGCACACTAATCACAACAATAGTGGGAACCCTCCACTCTTAAAGAAAAGTTGCAGTAGTGCTTTAAACCTATGTCTGGAGTTAATACATTACCTCTACAGAGCTGGAGAAAAATATATTTCCAAGCTAAATAAGCGCCAATGTAACGCTTTTCATTTCACGTCCACAGCGGCGGAATGAAAGTCTGACTCACGGGAAGGATGTGAGATCCAGACCTGCAGGTTCCAATATTAGCCGGTCTGCAGCACACTGAGGGTCTCTATAATCCTCTGCCAGCTTTCTAATGCGCTGCTCACGTCACCGAGTGGCACATTAGTGCTAGTGAAAGCTGACTCCCTGTAGCTCAGTAACAGTGGCTGGATCTTAATTACCGACATTATAAATAGAAAACAAATACAGGAGTTCCACTAGAGGAAATCCCTTTGTGCGGTTTGTTTC